CAGTCCCACTGGACTGGCAGACCGGGGTGGTGGTCCCCTTATTTAAAAAAGGGGGACCGCAGGGTGTGTTCCAACTACAGGGGGATCACACTCCTGAGCCTTCCTGGTAAGGTCTATTCAGGGGTTCTGGAGAGGAGGGTCCGTCAGATTGATGAGCCTCAGATTCGGGAGGAGCAATGTGGTTTTCGTCCTGGCCGTGGAACACTGGACCAGCTCTATACCCTTAGGGGGATCCTGGAGGGTGCGTGGGAATTTGCCCAACCAGTCCACGTGTGTTTTGTGGATTTGGAGAAGGCGTTTGACCGCATCCCTCGGGGGGCCCTGTGGGGGGTACTCCGGGAGTATGTGGCATCAGGCACTCTGATACGGGCTGTTAGGTCCCTGTATGACCGGTGTCAGAGCTTGGTCCGTATTGCCGGCAGTAAGTCGGGCTCGTTCCCAGTGAGAGTTGGACTCCGCCAAGGCTGCCCTTTGTCACCGATTCTGTTCATAACCTTTATGGACAGGATTTCTAGGTGCAGCCAAGGTGTGGAGGGCATCCATCTTGGTGGCCTGAGGATCAGGTCTCTGCTTTTTGCAGATGATGTGGTCCTGTTGGCTTCATCAGAACTTGATCTTCAGCTTTCGCTGGAGCGGTTTGCAGCCGAGTGTGAAGCAGCTGGGATGAGAATCAGTTCCTCTAATTCTGAGACCATGGTCTTGATTAGGAAAAGGGTAGAATGCCTTCTCCGGGTCAGGGATGAGGTCCTGCCCCAAGTGGAGGAGTTTAAGTATCTCGGGGTCTTGTTCACGAGTGAGGGAAAGCTGGAGCGTGAGATCGATAGGCGGATTGGTGCTGCATCTGCAGTGATGCAGGCGTTGTACCGGTCTGTCGTGGTGAAGAGAGAGCTGAGTCAGAAGACGAAGCTCTCGATTTACCGGTCGATCTACGTTCCTACCCTCACCTATGGTCATGAGCTTTGGGTAGTGACCGGAAGAACGAGATCACGGATACAAGCGGCCGAAATGTGTTTTCTCGTCAGAGTGGCTGGGCTCTCCCTTAGAGATAGGGCGAGAAGCTCGGTCATTCGGGAGGGGCTCAGAGTAGACCCGCTGCTCCTCCACATCGAGAGGAGCCAGTTGAGGTGGCTCGGGCATCTGGTCAGGATGCCTCCTAGACGCTGCCCTGGTGAGGTTTTCCGTGCACATCCAACCGGGAGGAGACCTAAAGGTAGACCCAGGACACGGTGGAGGGACTATGTCTCTCACCTGGGCAGGCAACGCCTTGGGATTCCCCCGGAGGAGCTGGCCCAAGTGGCTGGGGAGAGGGAAGTCTGGGCCTCTCGCCTTAGGCTGCTGCCCCCACGACCCGACTCCGAATAAGTGGATGAAAATGGATGGATGGATAGATGTGGAATTTAGGAGAAAACCTAGATCAAAGAACCTGATCATTTCCCTCACTAGCATCCTCAGACCACTTTCCAGACTTCTTCTGTGGAGGCTCTTCCCACCTTGGTTGTGTATTCAAGCATCTATCACAGAAAAGTCCAACAGTTTTGTTTTGAACAGCTGCTGACAGCTGATAGCTTCAGCAAACTTCCCGTGAGAGAGGAACTTAAGCAAAATCCCAAAAATCCTGATCCAGATGAAAGTTTAAGTTTCCAAATATCTAAGCTTCAACCAGCTCAGAACCAGCAGGGTTAGGGTTGTTACAGAAACAAAAACCACCGAGGGAAAACAGGGAACAATCACAGACTCTGTTGTTTGTTTGGATTTGAACAAAACCAAATGTTTTCACAAGCATGCACGAGGGGGTGCTCATTCTGAAACCAAAAGCGAATTGTTTTAGGTTGAATAACAGTTTGGAGAGAAAATGAGCTGAGATTGTATCCAAATGTCTGTAAAATAACCAACTAGAACTGAAGTCTGGTTTTTGTTTGGACGGGAATGTCAACAAAAGTAAAGGGTTTGTGCTTTTGGAGTAATCTGAGTAAAATAATCTCTTATAAATCCTCATTTAAGGGCTGCACAGTGGCGCAGTGGCCAGTGCTGTTGCCTTGCAGCAAGAAGATCCAGCGTTCAAATCCCAGCTTGGGGTCTTTCTGCATGGAGTTAGCATGTTCTCCCTGTGCATGAGTGGGTTCTCTCCGGGTACTCTGGCTTCCTCCCACAGTCCAAAAACACGACCGTCAGGTTGATTGGTTGCTCTGAATTGTCCTTAAGTGTGCCTCTGTGTTGCCCTGCGATGGACTGGCAACATGTCCAGGGAGTACCCCGCCTGCTGCATGCATGGGGAACGCTGGGTTTCTTACAAAGGGAACTTTTAGTGCCTTGAGACGACTTGTAATGATTGGCGTTATATAAACTGAATTGAATTAATAAAAGGCTCAGTGAGCGTGTGAATGGGTAAATCACTGTTGTAAAGCACCTTGGGGGGTTGTAGAACCTTAGAAGTAGCCATTTCCCATTTTATTTTTTTATTTTACCCTCCCACTGTCCTATTAGGTGACCCCGCCAGGAAAGTTGACTACTGAGCAGGGTTGATGGTTTACCCCTTGAGGTCCACGTGGCAGGGGTGAGGGGGTGCTCAGCCCTCAGCCAAAACAAATTCTATGAAGGATTATAGTTTGTTGGATTCTATCGGATTAAACATTTTAGGATGACTTACCATATTTGATCACTTGTATAAATGTGGTCATTATTTACAGAATAAAGCTGAAACAAACATTATATTGTGAGATTAAACAGACATAAAATATATAAAGGCGTTTAAACCTTAGTGTTTCATGTTAATTACCATAAACAGCAACAAAACCTTTCGGCAAATGACTCAAATATCAACAAAGTTGTATTCAGAACACAAAGAAACAACAAAAGGTGTCATTTAAAAATCACCTCCAGGTTCTACATCCAGAGAAACGTTTTATTCATTTGCATCAAACACTCATTAATCATTTTGTCATGATAAACACATCAGATAAGCCATGTTTTGTGTTTTATAATTGTTCTCTACATGACTGTACCATGTGGCGGAAAGGCTTTGTTCTAATACAGACGATGTGTTCAGTTACTAAAATGCTGCAAAAACAGGACTCTTCTCCTCAAATGATAAATGAAATCACATACATCACTGAAAACCATTTGTCATGCGAAGAGCCAGAAAAACATCCGTTTATTTCAGGACCAGGTTTTTTTCCCCAGACAGAATCAGCAGCAAGTGGGCGGAGCCAAAAACAAAAATAAGTTTCAACCAAGTTTATTCTCAGATCAAAATTATCTGACAATTTAAAATCCTCAGGAGTCAGAAATAAAACACCCTTCTAAGCGAGAACGACGGAGGAGATAAAACTGACTAAATCAGCCAAAATGGTGGAAAGCTTCATAAATATATCAGATATGTCTTTACAGATACCGTGGCTTTATTTTTAATGCAAACATTTTACAAAAATTATCAGATTCATAAAGTTGTTTATTTTAGAGAAAATACATTTGATTAGAGTGAATCTGTAAATGTTTAAATTCTACTTAAACACTAGTTCAGATTGGGGAAAAACTTCAGCTTCATTAACAAAATACTGTTTTTATACATAATTTTGTTTTCTGAGCACATCACCGTAAACCTGTTCATACAGCAGGTGTGTGTGTGTGTGTGTGTGTGTGTGTGTGTGTGTGTGCATGGGCAGCAGATGAATGTTGTTTAGAAACACCTGAGGAATAAGTAAAAATGAAAAAATAATCTAGAGGATTTTAAACTTAAATAAATATTTTTCTATTTACAAACTCATTAAAACCCCATAAATAATTTATAGCTTATTAATTTTGTGTTGAAGGTCTCCAGGATGAGTTCCATGTGCCAAAAATCTTCCCAACATAATTATATTTAACACAAATTCAGCCACTGCTGACTTTTAGCTACTGTCACTTTAAGGCCAAGTCTGCTCTGATTGGTTCAAACTAACCACTGAGCTGCTATCTGAGGCATTGGATGAACCAACAGGAAGGCAGTGTGTTTCACAATGATGTCATTACGTAAAGGAACAACCTTCTTTAGGCTTTCACACTTTAGATTAAATTTTATATACAAAGAAAAGAAAACCTGGAACCAAAAAAACCCAAAACGTGTCACACCACAGATTTAAGGTCATGCAGCCCAACAACAACAACAAAAAGTGGTGTCGTGTTTCAACCTTCGCACAAAATAATCTTCAAAGCAGAAATCCGTCATCGGTTTGCTGTGAGTCGAACTCGATGGACCAGTTCCACCTTAAAGGCCAAGTTCACTGAGGAACCGGTTTTTTACTTGTATGTTTAAAAATAATCGGTAAAAACAGTCTTCTACTTCTAGTTCCTGCATTAGCCGCCGATAAAAAGTAGATGGCGAAACGCTCGGATTAGAAAAGCCACACAGATCTACACCACCTTGGCTCGCGACGGGGAAGGCTGTTGTTGGTTTGGTTTAGCATCCAGGAAACAGCAGAGAACGTCTCAGCTAGTGGAAGCTAGCCGTTAGCATTAGCAACTCCATCAGGCTGGTGTTGTTTGTGGAGATAAAACATCAACTGAGCCAGTGGTAGAGCCTTGTTACTGTTAGCCAATCAGAGCCGAGATACCCAAACATCATTAAGACTCCAGATCCTGTCGTCTTCAGCCCCCCTCTGCTCTGGCTCACTTCTAGTTCCTGAGACAGGAGCACCGGAGCTTTTATACCTCAGAGATGACTCATAAGTCACTCAAACATACTCGACGCCGCTGCAAATGTGTTGAAAAAGAAACAAGTGAACTTAGTCTTTAAACCTCGTACCAACTTTCTTTAGTTGTAACTAAAGAAGCGGGTTAGCGGTGTGTAGCGCCACAGGAAGCTGGTGAAGGAACTGATGGCTCCTTCGCTCGCTTTCTAATTACAGAAGTTTGTGTTTCCATACATGAGAGTCCAGTGAGACAGAACGTCCAGAAACGTCAGAGCTGAAGATGAACGCTTCACAAATAATTCAACTCAGAGTCGTAATAATAAGCAGAGCATGTGTGACTATAAACCCAGTCAGTACTGAGTTCATTTATTTCTCCAGAACCGGTTTCCCAGTAAGTCGGACCTGAAATCAGAAGTTAGAAAAATGACCAAAGCTGGATGTTTTACAGCCTCCTCCTCATCTCTGATGTCCTTTCTTCTTCTTGTTCCGAGACGGGGTTTTGATGGGCCGACTGGCAGGTCCGTTCTCCAACGGGACCGAAGGTGGAGCTGCTGGTGGAGACGTAGGAGAGAAAAGGTCTGGCTCTCCTTCCACGGCCAACTTAAAGGGCCCAGCAGGAGAGAACTTCAGTGGACTGGAGAGAGAAACGTGTCTGAGATCAGATGTGGGTCACATGGAGACCATGAGAGGATAAAAGCAGCAAGAAGAGCAGAGACATGCTTGTTTTCATGTAGCATGCAGAGGTGGGTCAGAATAAGAGAAACTACGGATTTCACAACAGCCCCTCGTGAATCTACAACATTTAAAAACTTTTTGGATGTTTCCGGATGTTCGCAGTCTTTCAGAATAATTCCTAACAGTTACCGTATTTTCCGGACTATAAGCCGCTACTTTTTCTCACGCTTTGAGCCATGCGGCTTGTAACGAGGTGCGGCTTTATTCAACCAGAAGGGACGGATGCTGGAACGTCTAATGAAGGAATGCGCCCAGGAGGATTTTTTTCACAGTAAAACGGCGCTGAGGTTGTTTAGAGGGTCGCGAGCACGGCCACTGTTCTTGATATTTGGACAAAAACTTCTGAGACACATGGACCGGGGTTTTTTTTTTTTTTTGGCAGGTCTGCTAACCAATCCTCTGCAAGTCTGAAAGATAAACAATAACTTTCTTCCCCAAGGTCCATCTGTCTGCCTCCGCAGAACGACTCCAGCTCCAATCAGTTGCTAAATTCAAGAATGATTTACTAAATCAACATGAACTTCTTCCATGACTCATAATCTAGACAATCATTACATAAACATTTTTTATCACTACTTATCATAACTATAGTTTAATGAAATGCTTCATTAATCTGTGCACACTGAATGGATGTTATGTTGTGTTTATGTCTACTAGAACCTGCCTTGTGTTCACCATGTTTAGACGACCAGGTCCTCACACCTGCACCCACACAACAACACGTACGGTTGAGTTAGACGACTTTTAAACCAGTCAGAACATCCTGCATCATGAAGGCGTGTTTCTGAGTGGTCTTGGTAACATCTCTCAAACTTGGCAGCCTCTGATTGGCTGTCCAAATCATAACATCAAAACCTTAAAACTGGATCATCCTGAGTGAGTCGACAGTTCTAGAGAGTCGCTCAGACCGGCCGCCTGTAGCCAAACCTCTTTAACCATCAAAGATGTCGACACGTCGTCGAAACCCTTTACACCTGCGAAGCTGATGAGCCAACAGTTCCTGCAGAACAAAGCTGATATCGTCCGCCAGACGCACGGTTCCATCCAGCGGTTGTGACCCGAGACATCTCCGGACTGAAGAGTCGGTACCACGGTATTCTACAGCCCTCCGGTGCCAGAGGTCAGCCGACCCCGCGACTGTCGGATCCACCAAGAGGGTCTCTCTGGAACGGGTGAAGTGGACATGACAGATCGCGTCTGATGTTCTTCTGATGATAAGAACCCTAACCCTTTATACCAAACTGTTTTCACCAGAACTCGGCCTACTTTGATAAGGAAGCTCTGACGGACGTCGCATTCACACACAGGCTCCTTCAGCACGTTTAGTTACATCCACTCACAGTAAATGCTTAGTTACTTATTCATGTTTTAAATGTTTGTAAAATAAATTCTAACTTTTATAAACCCGACTCTTTCTTGAAGGAACACGAAGTGTGGTTGATCACTGAAACAGCAACGAACCTAGATCTTCTGAATTAAATCCTAGAATCTTCTGATAAGATCAAATAAAGACCTCGCAGGTTCATATTTTATATTTATATAGAATATTACAGCTTCCTGGTCATAACAGATAAAAATCATCCATTTCCCTACGCTACACCTCCTTATATACAGGCCAAATCTATCTGCAACGGATAAAGGCAAACACACACACACACTTTACCTGACCAGAACAGCAGCGAGAGGCGAGCCGGAGGGAGAGAGGAGCAGCGGGCAGGAGGGGGCGGGGCTGTTACGCTGTCAGGCAGGACGGTTTTCCTTCTCTTTCCTGCGATGATTGGCGTAAACGTCTTCACCACGCCGCTGACTCGTGTTGTCAGACAGGAGTACCATACGTGCACATTTGCCACACAACTCAGCTCACGTATCCGCAGCTTTCTGCGTAGTTTAGAAGGGTGAGTCGTACCGGCGTACATAGATGCCAAAACGCGTACAGGTTGGCAGGTCTGGGAAACGGATGATCCAGTGGTTGGTTCCGGTCCGAGCCGTGTTATTGGCGGAGGTTTAGAGAACCATTTATTCATTTGTATTTTTTATCTCCACCACACATTTGTAGCTACACTAAGTTAGAACGTTATGTGGCATGAAAAAGTGTTTTAAGCTCATCTGTTTTCCAAAGCTGCGGTAACAGCTTTAAAGCATCGCATCGATGGTGGCTTATCGAACCGGCCTCAGCCGTGGAGACTCACATCCCTGGTGACAACCCTAATTAAACACCAACACATTTGCAGGATTATTATTTATTATTACTATTTATTTTGTTGTCCAGTTTGTCTTTAGTTATCTACTCAATAACTGGACTGAGTTTGTTTTATTCTACAGTGAGCTGCCCGTCTTCTTGTATTTCACTTCTCTACGGTAGGAGGACCCACTCGTAAACAAGATGTTTCATCTCAAGTGGTTTTATCTTCCTAAAATATAAGTTAATAAATTAAATTAATTTACTTATTAAAATATATAAATTAACTTACGGATTTTAAATCACGATCTTCTTATTGCATTTTTAGGTTCTTTTAACAGAAAAGGTTTTTTTTACCTTGTTGGGAGTTTCGACCACTCCTGCGGTCTTCATCAGAGCTAGCCGCTAACGGCGGCGTCACTTCCTTCCTCGTTTAAATTATAATACCTAAAAGTAGCTGCTTGTTTCTAAGTAATCAGAGTCGAGCTGAGAGGTGGAGGACCAGTCCGAAACGAGCTTATGGGAGTGCCAACGACGGACTTAACTATGAGAAATTAAATAAACGTTTAAATTATTGGTGACGGCGATGAACAGAGCAGACATTAGTGTGATGGCAGCGTAATTTGCATGTGTGTGTGACATGTTATGGAGGCCGTGTACAAGTTTCTGATGCAATTTTTTGTGACTTCTGATGGTGACCACTAGCAAGTGTTGGCTCTAAAACAGTCACCACGCTGACGCCGGCAGAATGTATAAATGTACACGTCAACGTCAGCTTCAGCTTCTTAGTTTGGTGGCAACTTCTACTCTTTATAGACCCGGGCCTCCCTGCTGGAGCTGCGACCTCCGTGACCCAAACTTGGATAAGCTGTTCGTGTGTGCGTGCGTGTGTGTGTGCGTGCGTGTGTGTGTGTGCGGTACCTGATGGGTGTGCGTGGGCTGCTGTTGTGACGACGAACGTGACGAGATCGGGGCTCGAACGAGAACCCTTCTTTCAGACTCTCCAACACCGATGGAGCCACGAAGGAGAAGCCCTGAAAGAGAACAAGATAACGTCTGATTAGCACCTCGTGAAGCGAAAACCAGAAAAGTGGAATTCACCAAAACGCGTCTGACAGCGAAGGCGAGTTCTGCGCTGTGGCTCAGCGTGGAGTCGTCCGGACTGTCCACTGGAGTCTGTCGGGTAAACCTGGTGTCGAACTGGCTCACATCCTCATCTGAATGCTAGCAAGAGACACACAAGAGGATTGAGTCGATGGTTGGTTTTAATCAACAACAGCTAACTAACTTATTTCATTTGCAGCTAAAAAAAAAGAGCATAACACCAACCAGCTGAGGTTTATACGGAGGCTCTACTCTCTTGTTCAGCAAGTCGTCCCAGTTGATTTGTTTAAAGAACGAATGTTTCTGGAAAATAAAATCACGCTTTTTATCATGAGAACGTTTAGCTGCATGAAGAAGGACGACCTGTGGTCCAGCTGGGTACTACGGTCCATTTCCAAACAAAAAGTGACTTTCTCACTCCTATTCCACGAGTTTCACGGCTGTTGCCAGTGACAGATCAGCAGCAGATGATTCTAGATGATGAGCGAAGACGAGTCATACACAATAGGGTGATAAGTGGAAAAAAAACATTTCACTGGAACATCGAGTTGGAAAAGGAAGCTTGATATATTTCAGGGCCGACTGCTTCTAAATCCCCGTTAGCATTGATGGCTCAATGTTAGCCTCTAGCCTGCTCTGCTTGATAAAGTAAAACAAAAAGATGCCGTGGCTTCTTAGGGGCACAACAACTAACTTCTGGGTCGCTCCTGTTTACTGGCTTTGCTTCTTTAAACAACTCATTTAATTTTTGCCTACCGGTGTCGAATTACAAGTACCAGTGCTGCAGCGTTAGCTCAGCACAGACTTGGCAACCCTGCAGGCTCACGGATAGTAAACAGTGACTACGTCCCTATTTTACCTTTTTGAAAGGCGAAGGACCGACAACCCCCAGCTGAGAAGTTAATCTGCTTCAGTATAGCCTTCCTTCCAACAGGATTGAGACAGTTTTGTGATTATTTCACAGTAAAAGTCTTACTTATTGCACATTTAGGCTACTTCGCTAAGTAAAAAGTGTATTTATGAAACAAAGTTATTAATCCTGATGAGACTTCTGTCGAGCCTACCCAGTAAAACCTCTGAAAAACCAGTGACTTCTTCATCCCAGAGACTTTTTTTAGATACAGAGAAACGTCCTGAATGGCATAAAAACAGAATGGATGATTTACCCTTTTAATTAATAAAATAAACCATTTCTGACTGTTTTTTAAAATAAGGACTTCTCAAGAATAATCTGCTGAATTTTGGCTTCAGAGGTAAAAAAAATAATAATAATAATTTGCAAATTTCATTTTTCTGATGCTCTTTATGGAGCTTTGCAGCATTCCTCCGACTGACAAAACTTCTATTTATTATGGAGTCTTCAGTATACGATGGCTAATCTTATGGACTGGGTGTGTTTTTTACCTGGATATCAGCGGAGTCACCTTGACTGGAGCCGAGTCTTTTGACTGGACTCTTCCTCAATAGCTGAAAAAAAAAATGCAGAAATGCTTCACAAAATGCAGCCCTATTATTAAAGCCATCCTTTTAAATCTTTTCCTGAGCCAGTGTGCGCTAAAATGACCCTTTACAGTGTTCATGAAATGTCACTCAGACCCCCACCGCTCTGGCCAGAATACCGCACTTGCTACTTCAGAGTGGCGGGTCGCCTCCTGCTTGATGTTTGTAAAAGTGGAGCTGACATACCTGGCGCTGCAGTCGGCTTCCAGCACATTTCGTGCATGTTTTAGATCAAGAACACAGCTGATTTTTTTCATTTAGTGATGAATCACAACTGTGGACACTAATGAAGGCTGGGGAGACATTTCAGCTGTTAGACTAAGGTGTTAAAAAGACGAACGCACAGCAAAGAGATCATTTTCACTATTGGCTTCTTTTTTTTTTATTTAGGCCCAAATTTAGGATTTCATACAAAAAAAGACTTTGTTTTACTGCTGAAACCTAAAACTTAAATCTGGAAATATTCATTGGACTTCCATCTGTTTCCTAAACTGTTCATTTAATAATTTGGCAGCAGAAAGAAATCTGCGCCTCCAAGAGAAAAGCTGGGAGCCGTTCTGCAGATCAGCTGTTGAATAAAAGCTCCACAGGCAAAACAAAGGCTGCATTATTCCATCGTAACAGGATCCGCCACCAATAAAAGCATCTCAGACCAACCACCTGGGATCACTCACGGGCGGCCTTTGGACTTTTGTGCTCACATTTTTTAAGTTTTCTATCTTTTCCAAACTAAACCTAGCCTGGCAAGCCAGACTAAATAAATGTATTATTTAGTCTGGCCATGCTCCATGGACGGCTCTCGGTTGTGGGGCGGGTTCTACCGTTGTCCACTGGACAATGAATGTGACATACTCTTGTTTCACTCTGTTGCATCATCCCACCCACCAGGCATATAGAGTGCCCTGATTGGCCCACAAAGCGGATAAAGCTCTGTGATTTGTTCACTAAGCAGATAGAGCACTATGATTGGCCCACCATTATGGACCAATCACAGCTCTTTATGTGTTTGAAACCCCTCTAGAGAGCTGTGATTGGCCAGCCAGAGTCCTGGTAGGAGCTGCGGAGGTTCCAATGGAGCATGCCTAGACCAAACTTTGCAAAGCAAGAATTTGGTCTAGCTCACTAGGCTACACTAAATCAAGTTAATTTCTATAAATTTCCGTGTCCTGGTCATGTGCCCTGAGGATAACCAGCCTGTAGATGACAGAAGTCATATTTGTGAGTGACACACCTGTTTGATGAGATCTCTGGCATCGACTGTCAGATAAGGGGGAAGGTTGAGTTTGCACTTAAGGATCTTCTCGATAGTTTTCTTCCTATTTTCGGCCGTGAACGGAGGCTGAGACAAAACAAGCCACAGGAAACAGGAAGTAGTTAGAAAGGTGTGACCTCAGCTCATGTTTTTGTTTTCATTCTTACACACAGACATGCCTAGGACCAAGCTTCAGAAACTAAAAAGTAAAAATCATGCGCTGAAGGAAAAAGGATAGGTCCGGTCCCTGACTGAACAGGGATCTTGTTCCTCTCACATCCATTGTTGGGCATTATAGAGCCTAGATAGGAAAGAAAGAAATCACTTCTTTACAACTGTGGAAATTAAACTCTGCTAGCTACACTGAGAAAGTGGGTGTTAGTGTTTACAGTCCAGGGGATTTAGGAGACTCCCTGGATGGGGAGGAGTCACGCTGATGCAGAAACCACCTCATCCAGCTGAGTGCATTAGCTTAGCAAAATGTGCAGAGCTGAGGGGAAGAAGCATCTGAAACAGGAAAATGCATGTTTGTGGCCAAATAACACTTGAGGGGTGTTTTTAACGAGAAACAAACAATAAAACATGGTCAAATGCTCGAAGATGTGGATTTTACATGATATGGGACCTTTGAATGTCTAAAACATAAATCCTGAGGGAACGTGCAGGACCAAAGTGCTGTACACCAAATAAAAACAACAGAATCAACAATAAACCTAGAATTAATAAAACCTAAAATAAATAAGACAATCCCAAGGTTGGTAATGGCCGGCTTAATGTACCGGGCCAGAAAACCAACTTTTATGTTGAGGGTTTCAGTAGAGCTACCATAAACAATCGCCTCAGTCTTGTTTCCATTTCACTTTAAAAAGTTCTTAACCAGGCTTTTACTTCCTTCTGACGGGAAACCAGGGTATTTAGAGAGCTTGAGCTCGTTTTTTTAAGTGGGAAATATATTTGAGTGTCATCCGCATAACAATGACGAGATATCCCATACTTTGTACAAATAGATCCAAGAGGGAGCAGGCCCAGCATGGTCTTGTTTGCTGGTCATGTAGCATTGATCAAGCCAATGCTGGTGGGAGCTGGCGAATCCTCTTTGGCCACAGACCAAGTTGCCTGAGCCAAAAACCTTAGGAAAGCGGGTCTGAAGTAGGGGTTGTATGAACTAGTCGACTTCATGGCTCTGTAGTGACTTTTTATGCCTGTCATCGACTAGTCGCTGTCACGTGATAATGACCGACAAGATGCAGTCCTCCAGCAGGTGATGAGCTCCTGCGTCGGGAGGCGGAGGCGACGCGCTGTGCCAGAGCGTCGGTACTGACACCGGCGGTAAAACGGACATTTAACCAAACTGTGACCTTTACCCTCTTGCAATTTAACCTTCCCCTCACCCCCATCCTAACCTTAACCAGTTTGCACATGCAAAGCTCTGATTGTTGACGCGCTCCAGACATCTGCGTCCTGAGCACGGCCAAATCAGGTGTCACCACCTCAAAAACAAATTAAACACGCGATCGTTCATGTCGGCTCATTTCCTTTCATGTTTTCTGTCTGTTATTTGTGCCTGATGCGTTTCGCTGCTGCGGAGCGAGGCGCATCACCTGTTGTGTTCTCCGGTGACGCGCCCCCAAAATTCCACTATCCCCGCTCCGCTCCGGCACGAACTCCGCAGCAAAAACGGTCCCGTTGTAGTCGGCCGGCGAGCACTCCGCTGTTTTAGCGGTCGGTAGATCTTTTAGAACTGCAGTTCAAAGGTAACTCATGAGGTGAATATATATGAACCCAGGTAGCAGTTTCTCTTTAGGATTGAGAGGAGATGCAGGAAGATAATAAACAGGCAGGACAGAAAAATAGTCAAATAAAAACAAGCTAGTTTTTGTACCTGCTGGTTGCAACAAACAGACACCATTGAAGGTAATCAGAAGTGAGGAACAGAAAATGAAATAATTATTTTAATGTTTAGAGCAGCAGGAACTCCGAGAGGCTGCAGGCACATCAGTGAGTTTGCGGCCGCTGTGCGGGGGGGGGGGGGGGGGGGGGGGGGGGGCTGAAGCAGAAACTACCGTTGTTAAAAGAAATGTGTTTAACTTTGAAAATGTGGGCGCAATTTTAATTGTCAAAAACTCCAGCAAACCTACCCCACCCCCCCCCACCCCCCGGTGCCGCTTCAGGTGTATGACGTCATCAACGACTAGTCGAAGTCGACTCGATTTTCATTACTTGAGTGTCGACTTTTAAAAAGATTAAGGCATGCAGCCCCTAGTGTGAAGTAATCCATCCTGGCCGCCAACAACACGTGCCAAACAGGTGTCGACAGGATCCAGAACCCTAACGAACGAAAGCAGCGAGGCACCGCCTCAAACTTCATCAGAGCTGAAGACAAGCATCCTAGAGCAGCGTTCAGTCGCATCAGCTGACCGCTGTGTTTGCTGCGGGGATTTGTGGAGGACGATTCCAAGCCCGGTAGGTGAGTTCAGACTCCTGACAGCCGAGGGGGACATGGCTATGCTTATTCAATTCAAACTTCAAGAGATTTTGCACAAAACGTCTGATATCCAGCAAGTTTAGTGCTCGTACACCAGCAGCTTGTAGGCAGACCGACGGAAAGCCTGACACGCCGGCGCCAACATGTGAAGCTCAAATAAAAGCAAACGGTTGTGTCAGAGTTTCAGGCTGAAGCAATCACACACACGTTTGACTTTAGTTGGTTTGTTGTTTTACTTCATCCTTTCTGCTCACCTGCTTTAGTTTAATGAATGAATCTCACAAACTACTTGACTGGGTCAGATCCACGCTGAAACCACAATAACCAGTTTCATGTTAAACTGGTGAGAGACAACGTAGTTCATCACCAAAAGGTCTGCTTGTAGCTTACCGATCCGGTCATCATGTCGTGCATCAGGACCCCGAGGCTCCACCAGTCCACTGCTCTGTTGTGGCCCGAATGGGTCAGAATCTCTGGGGCCCTGAAAGCAAACGGAAGCAGCAACAGATGTGGTTCAGTAGTGAAACCGGTTCCCCCGCGGTCCGCCGACCCGTCACATGACTCTGTACTAAACTCGTTTAACCCTAACTGTAACAAGTGTGTGTGTGTGTGTGTGTGTGTGTGTGTGTGTGTGTGTGTGTGCGTGTGTGTGTGCGTGTGTGTGTGTGTGTGTGTGTGTTACCTACATGTACTCGATGGTCCCACAGAAGGTGTGCGTGATGCTTCCATCATGAATCGACTCCTTACTGAGACCAAAGTCTGTCAGCTTGATGTGTCCTTAAAGAAACACGACAAAAACATCCAGATTCAGCAACAAAAGGTCAGAGACACCATAACCGACACATCTCTGCATCTGCTCTGTTTTGTTTTGTGTTTGTTTTTATTTTGGTTCGATGAGGTCACGGGTCCAAATACAAGCATCCTTCTCCCCGTCAACACTGTCCAGAAAGTTCCAGGTCTCCCTCCTGCCAGTGACCACATGAAAGCCCAAACCACCTCAGCTGACTCCTTTTGATGAGGAGGAGGAGCAGGAGCAGGAGGAGGAGGAGGAGCAGGAGGAATAGGAGGAGGAGGAGCAGGAGGAGGAGGAGTTGGAGCAGGAGGAGTTGGAGCAGGAGGAGGAGGAGCAGGAGGAGGAGCAGGAGGAGGAGGAGGAGGAGGAGACGAGGCTCATTTCAGCCATTTACTTCCTGGATCTCAATTCAGGACAAATTCCAGACAGCTTTGTTATTCCCAAAAGGAACTTACAGGTGCTGGCCAGTAAATTAGAATATCATCAAAAGGTTGAAAATATTTCAGTAATTCCATTCAAAACGTGAAACTTGTACATTATATTCATGCAATGCACACAGACCAATGTATTTCCGATGTTTATTACGTTTAATTTTGATATTTATAGGTGACAACCAATGAAAACATCAAATCTGGTATCTCAGAAAATTAGAATATTCTAAAGGCCAATGAAAAAATGTTTGTTTCTCTAATGTTGGCCAACTGAAAAGAATGAACATGAAAAGAATGTGCATGTATAGCACTCAATACTTAGTCGGGGCTCCTTTTGCCTCAATAACTGCAGTAATGCGGCGTGGCATGGACTCGATCAGTCTGTGGCACTGCTCAGGTGTTATGAGAGCCCAGGTTGCTCTGATAGTCGTCTTCAGCTCCTCTGCATTGTTGGGTCTAGCGTATTGCATCCTCCGCTTCACAATACCCCATAGATTTTCTATGGGGTTAAGGTCAGGCGAGTTTGCTGGCCAATCAAGGACAGGGATACCATGGTCCTTGAACCAGGTGCTGGTGGTTTTGGCACTGTGTGCAGGTGCCAAGTCCTGTTGAAAGGTGAAGTCTGCATCCCCCATAAAGTTGGTCAGCAGCAGGAAGCATGAAGTGCTCTAAAACTTCCTGGTAGACGGCTGCATTGACCCTGGACCTCAGGAAACAGAGTGGGCCAACACCGGCAGATGACATGGCACCCCACACCATCACTGACGGTGGAAACTTTACACTGGACCTCATGCAACGTGGATTCTGTGCTTCTCCGCTCTTCCTCCAGACTCTGGGTCCTTGATTCCAAAGGAAATGCAGAACTTGCTTTCATCAGAAAACATAACTTTGGACCACTCAGCATCAGTCCAGTCCTTTTTGTCCTTGGCCCAGGCGAGACGCTTCTTGCGCTGTTTCTTGTTCAAGAGTGGCTTGACACACGGAATGCGACACCTGAATCCCATGTCTTTCATGAGTCTCCTCGTGGTGGTTCTTGAAGCGCTGACTCCAGCTGCAGTCCACTCTTTGTGGATCTCCCCACATTTTTGAATGGGTTTGTCGTCACAATTCTCTGCAGGGTGCGGTTATCCCTAGAGCTTGTACACTTTTTTCTACCACATTTTTTCCGTCCCTTCGCCTGTCTGTTAATGTGCTTGGACACAGAGCTCTGCGAACAGCCAGCTTCTTTAGCAATCACCTTTTGTGTCTTGCCCTCCTTGTGCAAGGTGTCAATGATTGTCTTTTGGACAGCTGTTAAGTCAGAAGTCTTCCCCATGATTGTGGTGCCTTCAAAACAAGACTGAGGGACCTTTTAAAGGCCTTTGCAGGTGTTTTGAGTAAATCAGCTGATTAGAGTGGCAGCAGGTGTCTTCTATATTCAGCCTTTTCAGAATATTCTAATTTTTTGAGATACCAAATTTGGAGTTTTCATTAGTTGTCACTTATGAATATCAATTTAAATGTAATGAACATTGGAAATACATTGGTCTGTGTGCATTGCATGAATATAATGTACAAGTTTCACTTTTTTGAATGGAATTACTGAAATATTTTCAACCTTTTGATGATATTCTAATTTACTGGCCAGCACCTGTAAATGGAGCCCGTTTCACATCCGTCTAGCTGCTCGTTTCCAGCAAAAGCAGAAGGCAGCTCTGGGTGGGTTACCTCGCTGGCTCAGCATTATGTTCTCAGGTTTCAGATCTCTGTAGATGATCCCGTTGGAGTGGAGGTGACCCAGAGCCAGGATGATCTCTCCCAGATAGAAACTAAACAGAGAAAATGACCTAAATCAATAAGGAACTTGTGGAATTTGGTCAATATGTTGAAGCTTTGAAGAGTCGGAGCTCACCAGGCCGTGTCCTCCATGAAGATGCCCTCTTTCTCCAGCTGCATGAACAGCTCTCCTCCTGAAAACAGACACTCCGCTGGGTCATCATCTATTCTTTCTTTATGAACACACATGTCGTCATACCGGTGGACGTCTCACCACTCAGACACTCCAGGATGAGATAGAGCTTCCCTCCGGTCTGAAAGGCATACAGCAGGTCCACGATGAACGGGTGTCGGACTTTCTCCAGGATCTCCCGCTCTGCCGTGTGTGCGCCGTGTCCTTAGCATTACACACGATCTTAGCCTGCAAGAGACCGAAACGGGGCGGAGCAGGGGGGACATGATGATCACAACGAAGACATGGAACAGGATCGGGGACGGAGCTGAGCAGAAGCAGCAGGGAGGCGGTAAGGTACCTTTTTCAGGACCTTCATGGCAAATATTTTCCCTGTTTGAGCACCTTGAACCTTCCTCACCTGGAACACCTGCCACAAAGACAGGATGTGAACTGATGAATGCACATGATGCTGCTACGTCACAAACATACTAAATATTCAGTTCAAAAAGTAAAAAATACCACTGAAAACACACACACACACACACACACACACACACACCTTGCCATAGGCTCCTTTGCCCAGCACAGTCAGAAGCTCGAAGCAGTCGGGTCCGACCCGCTCACTGTCTCTGTTCACACTTTCACTGGTCAGCTCCACCTCCTCCGTCTGAACACTGGGAGGAGAACAACCGACGTCATAGTTTCAACCAGAAATGAGACCAGATTTTCACGGATCAGCTACACTGAAGCTGAAGCTCGGCGTACTTCTCCGGTTCTGTGACTGTGAGCTCACAGGCGTCGTCCTGCAGATGGAAACAAGACAAAGAATCCAAAATTAAAGATTTCAATATTTACAGATCAGGGCATTTTCCAGATGTTATCCCCCCCCGCTCATCCGCCAGGCTAAGCGTCAAGCCCCGCCCCCCTCCTCGACCCTACCGTGTCGCTGACACGAACTAGAGCCCTCCATCAGCTGATTCTGGTGAGAAAATGCAGCCCCCCCCCCCCCCCCCCCCGCTCTCACAGAGGAGTGTTGCGTTTGCTTCTGATGTTTTTAGTTCTTGAGTTAAGTATTTGTCTATATACAGCAAGTCCTATTATCATCGTTATTTTAATCACTGTTACCGCACATCGCAGGTTTTCCTACTACCGTGGCAGCGCTAGGCGGCGTGTGACCATTCAACAACAAACCTCTGTGTCGCTGACATCATCGGTCTCCATGTCGATGTCGAACACCCCCGCCATCCTGACAAAGACACATTAAAGCAGAGGATGAGAGAAAAGCTTCATCCTGCTGAGGAACCTCTAAGGAACAAATCCACTAACCTTCAGGTATAGAACACACCTGACCTAAGTTTATTGTTATTATTTGTGTGTTATTATTATTATTATTGTTATTGTAATTGTTGTTATTATTATAATTGTAATTATTATTCTAATTATTATTATTATTATTGTAATTATTATTATTATATTATTATTATTATAGTTATTATTATTATTATTATTGCTATTATTATTATTATATTATTATTATAGTTGTTATTATTGTTATTATAGTTATTGTTATTATTATTGTTGTTATGATTATTATTATGATTATGATTATTATTATTGTTATTATTATTGTTGTTATTATTGTTATTGTAATTGTTGTTATTATAATAATTGTAATTATTATTGTAATTATTATTATTATTATTATTATTGTAATTATTATTATTATTATATTATTATTATTATAGTTATTATTATTATTATTATTGTTATTATTATTATTATATTATTATTATAGTTGTTATTATTGTTATTATAGTTATTGTTATTATTATTGTTGTTATGATTATTATTATGATTATTATTATTGTTGTTATTATTATTATTATATTATTATTATTGTTGTTGTTATGATTATTGTTATTATAGTTATTATTATTATATTATTATTATTATTATTATTATAGTTATTATTGTTATTATTATTATATTATTATTATTATAGTTATTGTTATTATTGTTATTATAGTTATTGTTATTATTATTGTTGTTATGATTATTATTATTGTTATTATTATTATTGCTGTTATGATTATTATTATTATTGTTGTTATTATTATTATGTGAGGTACGTGCTGTGACTCTCCATCCTTACACCAACAACAGAATCTATCCAAGACTAAATCCATCGCTGATCTGATTCCCTGCGGATTTCTGATGCTTCATAAATCCTAAACCAGGGTTCTCCTTTTCATTTACAAATGCAGCTCAAACTGCTTTAACGGGTTAAAATCACCCCATATAACCCACAATCCCATCATTTCCCCAAAAATATAGAAATAATTATGACAGTGCCCCCCCCCCCCCCCCCCCCCAAAAAAATCCCACAACCCATTTCCTAAGGAATACGCACCGACACACACACACACACACGAACAACAAATACACATATGCACACACACAAAATTTAAAAATAAATAAATAAAATAAAATATCATAAGTAAACACTAGGCCGAGTTCAGATAGGTTAGGTAACGAACAACACGCCATCAGGTGAGCCATCTGCCTCGGTAGTAGTCGATCGACGGCAGCAGCAAAGGCACCAGCCCAGGGCTCCCAGGGTGGTAAGGGCGAAACCCCCCACCGCCTAAGCTCTCCCCGAGGTGCGCCCAGGCCGCCACAGTCGACCACCAGCCCAGAGGCAGAGGGCCCCACAGAAGAAAACACTGGCACAAACAAATAACATCAAAATAATAAGAGCTAATATGGATAGTAAAACAACCAAAAAAGTGATTCAAGGAAAACACTAAGACATAGATGTCTAATAAAACTAAAATATAAATAATAAAATAAAAACAAAACAAGCAATGCAGCTAAAACAGATTTCAATTCAAAGCTATGGTAAAAAGGTGAGTCTTACGCCTGCTCTTAAAGACACGAACATCCTCTACGACCCTGAGCTCCTCGGGCAGCCTGTTCCACAGCGAGGGCCATAACACTGGAAGGACGCCTCGCCGTGGGAGTGTGTCCTGACTTTAGGGATGACAAGGAGACGGCCGCCAGAGGAGCGCAGAGGTCGCGAGGGTTTGTAAGGTAAAAGCAGTTCTGAAAGATAAGAAGGCCCAAGACCGTTAAGACACTTAAAAACCGTTAAAAGTACTTTAAAATCGACCCTGAAGCATACAGGGAGCCAATGCAGTGATTCTAAAACTGGAGTGATGTGCTCCCGCCTCCTGGTCTTCATCAGGACGCGAGCTGCTGAGTTTTGTAAAAGTTGTAAACCTGAAATTCTCTTTTTAGGAAGAGCAGAAAGCAGATCATTGCAGTAGTCTATCCTACTGGTGATAAAAGCACGCATCAGCGTCTCCGTATCGGCCCGAGAGAGAACGGGGCGGACTCTGGCGATGTTCTTTAGACGATAAAAACCTATTTTAGTCATGTTTTTTATGTGTGGGATAAAAGTCAGCTCAGAGTCGAAATTCACACCAGATGGATTAAAAGACCTTGATTGTATTTTTGGTAAAAGTTTCTCTCTCTGGGCCTCAGGACCGATGACTAAAACTTCAGTTTTGTCCTGGATGAGCTGCTGACCCAGGAGTGCTGTGGTTGTGGTTCAGGTGGAGGTGAAAGAACTTGTTGTTTAGAGGCCAAGCGGAGCGGTCCGAGACAAAAGAAAACCCAGTCATCACTAATGTTTAGCTGCTGCGCCTAGTGCAGCAGATCCGTCTAACAAGACAGAACCTGCTTAATAAAAGAAGTCAGATGGTAAAGATCTGCAGTACTCTACTTCTGATAGACACGCCCTGCTGTCGGAGTCCTGCTGCAGTTCCTGACCTTCCTGTAAACCCTTTAAGAGGTCTTAGTCAACAAATAAGAGACGATGTAAACAGGTTAAGTTAGATCTTCAGATTAGTTGTTACAGCAGCCTGTTAAAGACACACTTATCTATGAAACAGCATCAAACTGTGTGTTAGCTGCAGACTAGATGATCAAGCAGCTATCAGCGTAAAACCTGTCCTACAAGCCCGTACGCCATTGTTTACACTCCAATATTTATGCATAAATAAGTAATAAAGCCAACAGAACTGGGCCATGCATTTACAAAACTGATAAATAATAACATCTAAATCATGACATCATTTAAAGTTATTATTTAAATCTCATTTTTTTACTAAATCTTCAGCTTACTTATCTGGTCCGGAACCATCAGCCTGGCAGCGTTAAGAGCTGTTTATGACTGAAAACTGTTAACTGATTATTATTTTAGAACAGAAGCTTTGGAAATCCCAACCAGTACAACCATATCTTCATCTAGACTCGACTCTGAGGTCCAGGACGTCCGAACCAGAACAGAACTCAGTGTTTCTTTGGTTCTGTTCTTAACGCAGAGTCCTGAGTCAGAACCAACCAGAGAGTAAAGTTCAGCCACATCCGACTCTACCGTAGCATCTGAATAACTGAACGAAACGGATTTAAACCGGAACAAAGGTGTGTGGAGCCAAGAGTCTAGTGTTCTTCTGACCTGATCCGACCTCCTCCTGCGAGTCTGTCGGCAGCACCAAGTGACTCGGACGGAACCACTGAACCGGTCTGACAGCAGCTGGGAAGCTAAACATGCCAATGCTAGCTAGCTATCCTGTTGCTCTTCTGGCGGATTTCCGGTTCTTCTTCTTCTACTGCTGCTACTTGGGTTTTATGGTCAAGCAACGTCAAGGTGCATTACCGCCTCCTACCGGAGTGGAGTGTGGACCGGGTAATGTTAAGCATCAGTCTAATGTGCTCTGTTATGTTATGCATCTGTGTAAATATGTAAATAAGAATGTGTATATATATATATATATATATATATATATATATATATATATATATATATATATATATATATATATATATATATATATATATATATATATATATATATATATATATATATATGCTTTTATTCTGAAAAGTACCTGTAGAGGAAGTTAAACTTTGACCCCGTAAAATGACCAATAAAAGGGAGCATTGGTGTGTCACACACACACACACACACACACACACACACACACACACACACACACACACACACACACACACACACACACACACACACACAAAGTAGTGTTTCCATGGTTCTATTGTGATTTCTTAGTAAATATTCTATTTGGTGAGAAATAAACTTTATTGTATTTATCCTAGTGGATCTATAATTAAACGGATAAACTAGTAGTAGCACATCCTAATGTAGCGTTATGGATTTATGCTCTTTTATGAAAGAGAAACCATGCTACGTATTAATTCGGAATATTAATTTTAATAAATCAATAACCAAATTTTATATTGTTCAGAAGACTCAAAGGTTGTTTTCATCGATAAACTGACGATAATATCTGAGTGTCTGTGTTTCAGTTCAATGAGGAAACCAGTTTGAAGGATTAAAAGTTTTAATTCTTCAAATTAAACTAATGATTTTGAAATTGACAAACAGGAAATACAATCAACATTGGTAACTTTGTGGGACAATCTTTTAACAGCTGATAGGCTGTTAATGCTCAAATAGACCTAGTGAATTTATGAAGATTGAGAATGTTGTGGGAGTGATCTGAGGTGAGATGGATGCGTGTGTGAGTCTGATTTTGCTTCAGGAAGAAACAGGTGTCTGAGTGAAAAGTGATGGTTTGAATAAACTTAGGTTTTTAGTTGGAAAAGATGCATCAAAACGCTAAACACCGTGTTCTGTCTCACCGCATTCTTGTGGACCCTCTTTCGGATCCGGGCCGTGGAGGATGTTGGTTCATCCAGATGACACCGGCGGCTGACAGGAGACGAGGTGTCGAACGGACCCGGTCCAGAGTTGCCCTCGGTACACGTTGATGGTAAAGCGTTTTGTCGACGCGCTTTCTTAAGTTAATTCACTCAGAAATCAAAAGACTCGGTAATGAGTCTGCGTTAGAAGTTGCGATTCAGCTATTCTGCCTGGCGTGGCAGAAACAGCGCGAGAGAAGGGGGGGGTTGAGCCCATGGGCTCCGTTCCCCGTTAGCGGTTGTTCACAAGTCCTCTCTCTCTCGTTGCCCAACACGAACTGAATCAAAAGACTGAAACTTACCAAAAACCTTTCTCTTCTCAAAGCAAACGTGCGTCATCAAATGTGTCTGGAGTTTACTGTGAGCAGGTGTGTGTGGATGTGTGTGAATGTTTGTGCTTGAGTGTGTGTGAAGGTCAGTAACAAACATTCTCAACATTATTTAAGAATGGATTCATTAAACCATTATAATTACCCCAAAGCATAAGAACCATTCATTTGATTAAACACATTTATAATGAGCAAAATGATAATGGTTACTTTAACATTAAAATCAAGAAAAAGAAGTTTAAACTTTATGTTTTGACTTGGTCTGGGTACAACTCATGTAAACACATCTTCTGGTAGACTGCAGGTGGCAGATGTTTTCCTCCCAGACTCGCTGGCGTTCAGGTCTTAATCTGTGGGTGAAAGTTCTCAGCGACCCAGCTATGACCCAGCTGCGTCCAACACCACCATTGTGACAGAAAACCCATATTTCCTCACGTTACACAAATGTCAAGGAAAGTAAAAAGTTATTATCAGGAGAGGGAGAATGTTTTAGTGGTTAGCAGCAGTGTGCTAGACGATGGCCCCCTCCATGAGGCCACCACAGCTCAGTAGAACACCAGTGTAGCTGTAACGTCCACAAATGGTCAGTTTTTCATGTACAGTTTGACCTCTTCAGTATCTGGTCATATGGAGACAGGAGTCTACATTTGTTGCCTTTAATCTGCCGGATCCTGCCATTCCATCAGCTGGAGTCCGGGTCTCTCTGCAGCTGCAGTTCCCTTCTCAAGGTCCTTCTCTGCCAAGCCTGTCTGCGTATCTAGGCTGTCCTGCACAGAATAAAGGACAGCACCGTTATATCATCTGGTTGAATGAACAATAATGGTATATGAATACGAATGAAATGTTTTGATTCATCTGTGCTTAAATTACTGTGGAAATGAATATTATTACATTGAAAGATTTATATATGATGATCAGTAATGTTTGATATGACAAGTGAATCATTATCTACACTCAGTCACAATGTTCATAAGAGATAACTTAAAGTTAAGTTAAACGTCACGACACATGGATATTTTCTTAGCCACAAATCAGAGCATCCTGTATCTGAAAGAAGGCGTGATGTTCTGAGGGTTGCTTGTTAACACCCCTTAACATGGCACGTCCCGATTGGCCAAGTAAATAATAATATGAGAACATTAAACACAGCTCACTTGACGGTGAGTCCGTCCTAGAGAAAGCTACGGACAGGCCATCCGGAGCGAACCCTCTTTAACCCAGAGCATCTTTTGACAAGCTGTCAAAACCTGCTACCCGCTGAAGCTGACAGCAAACGGTTCCTGCAGAACAAAGCTGATACAGTTCCGACTCCGTAAGAGTTCTAGACGCAAACAATTTCATCTATCTGGTGTGACGCAGAAACATCTCTGGACTAGAGCGTCGGTGCTGCGGTTAATCTACCAAACCTCGGTGCCCAGAGGTCATCCGACCTCCCTGACCTCCGGATCCGTGAAGAGGGTCTCCAAAGAAAGGGTGAGGTAGGCACACACGATTGCGTCTGATGCCATTTTGATAAGAACCAGTTTCATAGCTTAATGCAAACCTAATTCTTTTCACACCCAGAACTCAGTTCTTCTAGATACAAGGTTCTGATGAACACACACCATTCAATCACCACACATCACATCCCGTCCTCAGATTCATCCATCACAGTCGTCTTAGTTAACTTGTCCTGTTTTTAATTTGTTAAGAAAATAAATTTCTTATCTTTTATGAACCTGACTCTGTCTGAATTGAGATGAAATGTGTGTGATCCCTGAAAAAGCAAAGAATCCTAGAATCTTCTGATTAAACATCCAAAGACCAAGCAGGTTGATCTTCTATATTTACATAGAGTATCACAGCTTATGGGTCATAAGTAAAGGTAATATATTACCGTAAGCTTAAAAGCAACAATATTTGCCCCTCTACAACGTGTCTTCTGGGGAGAAAAACACTTAGAGAAGAAATAAAGTTAACAGCTGAAATAGCAGGAAGTAATACAGTTAAAGAGCAGATAGTAGAAGAAAGCAGTAGAGTGTGGAAAGTGGTCAGTGCGTCCTCCAGCAGTCTAAGCCTATAGCAGCATAACTACAGAGATAACTCTGGATAATCTATCCTATTTAGATGGAGGCATGTTGGAGGCAGGGCAAGGGAGAGCCGTCTTTACCGACTGTACACTCCACCTCCCTCTACTCCCCCACTTGTCCAGTTTGGTTTTATTGGTTATTCTGTTGTTTTTAGTTGTTTTGTGTACAGCACTTTGGTCCTGCGGGTGTTTCCGGTGCTAATTAAAGTTGGCATGGTATGATTGGTGAAGAAAGGGGGTTGGACGTTTGAATTGCAACTTGCTGGAATGTCCTACCTTTAATCTAATTGATCTGGATTTGCAGATGCTGTTTTCTTAGAAACTCCACTTTCTGAGACTTCACAGGAACAACACAACCTGAATAGAGAAGTCCTGCTGCTGGATTGTTCTTGTGCAGAACATCTGCAGTCCTAAAGCAGATTTTAAAGAGTAACTAAACCCCAAAATGACATGTTTTTGCTAATTAACTGTATAACTGGGTCTTTACAAATGCAATCTTTCTAATTCTGTGCATTTTTTGACATGTTTGTGTAAACTTGATCAAATCTAGTATCTAGGTCTAAAGACGTCTTAGTGCTGCCCCCTGTGGCAGCACAGCAGCTACTGCATTTAAAACTTGTGATTGACTGGGGCTGGAACAATTTCACGTCATCGGTACAGTCTCCTCCCACTCCCCCTCCCTCCCAGGATGGAAATTCCCCACACTTGGCCGTGCCACTCTGTGCCTCCTGGAAACACTCACTTTCATGGCATTTTTCAAACTGGACTGGGGTGGAGTTACGTTTTCTGATGGAGTGCAGTCCCTCTCCTGCTTTGTTTTGGTGAAACTGGTGTGTTTTTGGTCCTTTCCAGGTTTTTGTTCATTGACCGGGTTTTGGATGCTGACTGTGCCTGCTGCTGAGGTCCAACATGTCCGTTTTGGCTCTACGGTCACTCTGAGTTGTAGCGTGTCTTACCTTTATGACACAACATGGCTGAAGCAAAGTCCAGATCTCGTCCCGACTGTGATCCTCTGCGCCAGCCTCAAAGATGGACAGCCTTTCGAAGCTGGTAAAGGATTTTAAATGCTAAAGAGCCCCAAATGGTAATGGCAAATGGCCTGTATTTTGTATAGCACCTTCTTAGGGCTCTACAACCCCCCAAGGAGCTTCACAACACAGTCATTCACCCATTCACACGCCGTTCACATGCTGGTGGGGATGAGCTACAATGTAGCCACAGCTGCCCTGGGTGCATGGACAGAGGCAACCACAGGCACCACTGATCCCTTTGACCACCATCAGCAGGCAAGGTGGGTTAGGTGTCTTGCTCATGGGCACAACAGAAGCATTCTCAGGTCGGAGCCGGGATCAAACCTGCAACCTTCAGATTGCTGGACAACCCACTCTACCTCATCAGCTACAGCTGTCCCAGCTCTACTTTTATGCTGAGGGTCTAGTGGTGTAAACATGTGTAGTCGTTGTTTTGGCATTTTAGTGCATCTTTTATTTCATTTCAATATTCAGCCTGAAACCGTCAGTGTGGCGCCCTCTTCAGGTTAAAACTCTGCACTACATTGAAGTTGAATCAGCCAGGCACCCTGAGACGTTGCTGTACCAAATTATGTCAGCTGCACTGCCGTAGTGGGCTAAAAAACACAACCAAGTCTCGGCCTAAAGCCTGGAGCACACTGGAGGAGGACGCGCCGCATCGCGCCCGCGCCGTCATTTTAAATGGAAGCCTTTATAGTTAAAGAGTGGGCACACGGGGAGCGCCGCGATGCATCCCAGAAGCACCGCGCCGAGACGCTGAAGATAGGCGCCAGTTCTAGCTCAAGCGCCGCGGCTGTTTACAACATTAGGGAGTACTTTACAACAGACATTACAACACGGAACGGCTTTACGGCACAAACCCAGCCGCAGTTTTGATAACTTTAAAGTATTATTGATCTTAAAATATTCTGATAAATAGCATGCTTACCCATTGTTAATGAGTTAGAGTCTCGCAAAACACGATGGCAAGTCACTTCCCGCTTCCTGTTCTCAAGTCCCGCGTGATGTGACTTTCGCGTGACTTTCTGCCTCTGGTTTGCCCCAGGCTTTAGAATATAATAGAATATAAACTTTATTGTCCACTGTAGTGGAAATTTTCCTTCGGCTCTCAAAAATAAAAATAAAAAATACCCACTTCTCCCAGCAAGATGTAGTTGGAATAGCAAGCGAGTGTTTATGGTGTGTTTAGTGTGTCACTGGCTCCACCCTCCCAGTCCTTCAGGCAGCAACTCCTTGTGTTGCATTTTCCAAGCAGGAACTGTGGGTTGAGTAAGACTCTGGTAGGGGGGTGACTTGCTCTTTAATTCAAAGAAGAAAACACCATTTGTTGTGTCAGAACCGAACATTTTCATCACATTACTTTTCAGTTTAGGTTGTCAGGTGAACCAACGTTACTCTGAGTCTGGTGAACCGATCTCTTGCTCTGACAATAACTAACATCCAGGAGGAAGATCTGGGCCTTTATTACTGCGTTGCTAATTTAAACACACGCGCAGGAGTTGGAACGGGAACCAGACTTTGTGGTAAGTAAATGCTTTCATTTCCTGTCTTATTGTGACAAGATTTTCTTTCCAGCATTGACTTACCTCAGGTAGGTTTCCTTTCTTTGGGTTGATTCACGTAGACATCTTTGTTTGTTACACATGACTAGTTTTAGGTTCGTCTTTTATGCAGATGTTTTAGTTTAATTTTGTCTCTGTGTGTTTTCAGCCACTCTTCCAGATTCCTCCTGGTTCTGGTTTCAGCACTGCTACACACTAGCTGTGGTTCTGGTGTTGTTGATCATGATGCTGGCTGTTTGTGTCATCTACTGGAAAACAAGATGGATGAAGAACACCAACAAGTCATTTTCCACACTGTGACCCAGAGAATGCGTAAACATTCAGGGGTCATCCTAGAAATATCCAAAATTTCACATGAACCATTTTCACACATTCCTTTTGTTAGGGGCTTCAAACTAATGTCCTTAGGGGTAAAACCTCCTTTAACTGGACCATGCAAAACATTAAAGTGACACTGTGTATTTTCCCTGGCGATAGGGGGCAAAAAATACCCAAATCATTGCAAGCAAGCATTATTTTTGTGTTCAAGTAGGGCCTTACCAATAGATGGACATTAGGGTAAAAAATCCTTGGGAGTGCAACCTGCAGCAAAATAACAAGAACATCAGATTACTTTTCATCACTTGTAATAAGTGAAGAGGTAAATGTGTAAAAGAACAACGTTTATTAATGCTGAAAGTTTTGTAACCATTTGTTACAAATTAGTAAATGCATTCTGTCCTCACGGGCTACCGTAGAAGGAAACATGGCATCCAATATGGCGTCGCCCAGAGACTTAGACCCACTCCCATGTATTTTAGACCTGATTTTTATGGTTATAAATTTTGAAACTGCCCATATTTTAAACAACTGGGTATCTAAATTCATTTACAACAACATTTTGATGGATATTTCCAGAAATTAATGGTAAAAACTACACATTGTCCCTTTAAGCACAGCAAATTCCTGACAGGTTTTCATGTTTGAAGATCTTTGATGCTGAGACAGTTATTTGTTGATTCCTCAACAGGGATTAAAAAAGCATCCCAAGATTTTCCCAAGGAACCCAAGTTTTTTTTTCCTGTTTTATTCCCGGCTTTTAGTGGTCGAAGGTTACAATACCAGATTACTGCCCATGTGTGTATATATATATATATATATATATATATATATATATATATATATATATGTACCTTTGTTATTATATTTCTTCAAATTATTCTCTTGAGTGTTGGTGCTGCTGTAACAAGTCAATTTCCCTACTGTGGGATCAATAAAGTCCATTCTTTTTTATCATTCTAAAGCATGTGTTTACAGACTGAGATTCATATGATTTAAGGTGTGGTTTATGTGTTCAACTGTGGTAAAAACAGTTGTTTCCTTCACATAGACCATGTGTACGGATGCGACATCACATGTTATTTTTGTAGATATTTTAAATTATATGTTGTTGGCAACTGAATAAATGCAGCCGACACACAGTAAAATCAGACCCAGTGTTTAGAAAATAGTTCACAAACTAAAAAAGAGGGAGAAAGCAAATCTGACGAATGTATTTTACAAAGTCAACAGAAGAGACCGTGGTTCAGAAAAAAGAGAGAATGGTTGATTTAAAAAAACGGGAACATAGCAGTATTGTGATTGGACAGGCATGCACAAACCACAAAGGCAGTCGCTGATTGGGTAGGAATCTGAATGTTTTTCTGAAACAGAAAAGTGAGCTGGAGTCATTTGCAGCTTCATAAAATTTGCAAAGCTAGAATTTGGTGTTTGTTGTTCACTTGGATACTTCTTAAGGGTCAAGTGTTGCATAAAGTGGCTAAAAATGTTTGCGCCCGAACAGGGACTTGAACCCTGGACCCTCAGATTAAAAGTCTGATGCTCTACCGACTGAGCTATCCGGGCTCTGTCCAACACTGTTGTCACGATATATTTAACATGTGTATTTCTGCCTATAGATTCATTTACATTGTCTAAAGTCGAGAATTCCAGTTTTACTAACTTATTTTGTTAAATTTTTTTCCTTAGAAAGACACAAATTGGATATGTTTGCTAGCAATCGTCAGCGAGGTAAGGCTGCTCTCTGGTTGGTAAATGGAATCAGAAAGTTTTTCGAGGCCCAAAATAAAACATTTAATACAGTTTCGATTGAGCACGATACATGGTTTCGTCATGACATAACCTACGGTTCCACGAGCTTTTGGCCAGGTGGTTGCTCAAATATTGAAGTGCCTTGTGATTATATACATAAATAATAAATACAATATATAAATATTGTATAAAAACTTTCTTCTTCTTACTCTTAGGTTACTTGTCCTAGTAAACGTGTTAGTTGGATAAATTAGCTGTGGTGTGGTGTAAATGTCGTTGTGGTGTATTACCACGTCCCGCCACCAGGAGGCAGGCGTGACTGTTGTAGCTGAGCTGGACAAGTAACGTTCAGTTCCACAGCTTGTTTTGGAAGGATTATTTTATTAATGTAAATATACCACAAAACTCCTTATAACGCGTCTTGCCTTTTGTTTTAAAATTGTCTTGATAAATGTTCACACACATCGTGTTTTCAGGGCGAAAAGCACCCCCTCCCCCCCCCAACAAGAATTAAAAAAAAAAAAAAAAAAAAAGAAAAGAACTCTACTGGCCCCTACCGGGAATCGAACTCACAACCGCGCCTGAGGCCTGAAAACATTCCCGTTTCTGTCTTGGAATGGGGAGCAAAAGGTCTGAAGCCTCACATATTTCCACTAGATGGCAGCAATTAGTCATACAATATGCGGCAGCAAAAAAAAAAAAAAAAAAAAAAAAAAAAGGAAAGAGTCAGATTTAGTTTAATACAATTTTTTATTTATCATCTTTCCACAGAAGCGTCCTGTTTGTAGAATGAAATGATAGAAAGTCTGATTGGATTGGTTTTGTCTTTTTGAGTTGCTGCTCTTTGGTCCCCACGGAGGGTTTATGGGACCGGGTCCGGGTCTAGGCGTGGTTGTGGGACCGCGGCTGTTGTCCTCGTGCCTTCAGGTCTCACATCCATCTTTTCCTGGATGAAGTGAAGATGGACGCGGAGGGATAGAGAGAATCATGGACGTGCATGTTTTTATTCTCTCAACCCCGTAGAGGGTCGTTTTTCCTCTGGTTGTATATTTTGTCTCTGTGTGGATAGAAGAGGCAGACGGAACCATGGCGGAGCCTAGAGGGTGGATTTAATTCATGAAGGAGTTTGTTAAAGTTTGTTCCAGAAGTCTTGGATTAGGTGGGAGGCCGGAGAAGTCCGACAACAGGTGATTATTATTATTATTATTATTATTATTAAGGCAGTTATGTTCCGAATATTAAACTGTAGCGCAGATGAAAACTGCAGCAAACCCAGTGGTGTTTCGGCCTCAGCACGCTCCTGGGTTCGGGACCAGTTAAACCAGTTCACGGGTCGGGAGTCGGTTCTGAGATTGCGCCGTCGGAAGGAAACTGCGACGCCCCAAAACAACCAGAGCAGCTGGGGAGGAACTGGCTCCGTCCGAGGTTCGGAAACCCCAGCGGAACCGACCGTTACGTTACCGACAAACAGCGCGGAGAAGAAAAACCAGAGGCCGCTACAAGCGGAACGTTTAACGACCATGCAACCGGAGACGTCCCCGGTCCGTGTGGAAGCGGAACCACGCTAGAACCGGGCCGTTGCACTGTCTGCCGCTTCTCGGCTGTTTTAGCGTCGCGTTACGGTACCACAGCGGATGTAGCCGAACGAGGCCCGCGGTTCCCTTTGCCTGGTGGCCAAGCGAGGAGCTCGGGTGGTCTTTGTGGAAGGATGCGTCGCCTCCTCCCGCTGCTAGCTCCTCCGCGGATCAATGTAAGGCTCCGAGCCCGGTGTTGTGTTAGCTGCACCGGTACCGCGGTACGGTCTGGTCGGCCTTGTGTTGACTCATCACGACGTTAAAGAAGCGCACAAAGTCCCGAAGACGAGGTTAAAACTATGAGAAGGAGTGAAAGCGGTTGTTGTGGTTAGCGCGGGGCTTTTGTCCACAGACCCTCACGAGTGTTTCTGTCCAGGGCCACCACTAACATGCTCCTGGCCTCCGCCGTGGTGGTGTGGGAATGGCTGAACGAACACGGCCGGTGGCGGCCCTACAGTCCCGCCGTCTCCCACCAGATAGAGGCGGCCATCCGGAGCAGCGACCCCCGCGGTGGGAGCGTGGTCCTCGGACAGGTTGACAGCAGGCTCTCGCCCTACATCATAGATCTCCAGTCGATGCACCAGTTCCGGCAGGACACAGGTGAGACCACCTGAGGATGTTAGTTAAGATCTAATCTGCTGCTTTTCAGACTGTTTTTGTCACTAATCCTGGGTCAGAGTTAAATAGACCTCTGATCCAGCTGTTGCTTTCAGACAGCTGTTGGCACAAGAATGATTTGGACCAGTGGGGCTTCTGGGAAAACACCGTTCGTGTGTTTTTATGGCCTGGGAGACCAACATTTGCTTCTATTATCTGTGATTTAAAGAGCAAGTCACCTCCTCTCCAGAGTCGAACTTCACTCTCATTTCCAGTTTGAAAGATGCCCACATGGAGACGTTTCCTGGTAGACCGAGGGGGCGGAGCCGCTAACAAATACACACACATACAGGTTCACAGCAGCATTGTGACATCATATGGTACCAGCTAACGTCATAGGTAGGGCTGGACAATATGGACCAAAACGTATCTCTCTCTTTTTGCTGAGTTCCGATATACGATATATATCTCGATATTTTTCCTCCTGTAAAATATTTACAAGTTAACTCACTTCAAGCTGTCTTCAGAAATTATACATAAATCAGTAGATTAAATACATAAACATGTTGATTCTTGTCAAACTTTAACCTTAGTGCCTATTCTCTACCAGTCTGAGCTTTAGAAACACTGGTACAGCTGTCTGTTAACACACACACACACGCACGCATGCACACACACACACAGTTGAGAGCTAGAGGTGTATCAAATGTCCCACGGGCACTTTTTAATAATATATTTATAATTAATGTAAAATTATTTAAATTTAATCTAGAGGTGGCCGTATCGTTAATTTCTTGTTCAGAGAAATAAAATCTATCATGTTAAGCTAAATGTATGATGATGTAATTGCATCTACTGAAGGTCACATGGGTCATGCACAGTGGAGTTAATAGTGATCAGGGCAAACATGGCTGCAGTCAAGCAGTATCGGCTCATATCAGTGATTATACTGTAATGACTCAGAGTCTCTGGTTGCTCTTTTATGAGTATTATTTTCGGGCTACTGTCGCCGTAACCCATACCTTACAAACTAGGGCTGCTCGATTATGGCAAAAATAATAATCACGATTATGGTGACTGAAATTGAGATCACGATTATTTAGGACGATTTTTCAATTTATGTTGATTTTATTTGTTTTTATTCAGTCATAAAACTGCTCAGGGCACAATCAGGACAAAAATAAGAAACAAGATGATCACTAAAAGAACTCCTGATTCCCAGTATAAAAAGACCAATATACTTATAGCTCATAGTTTATGACCCAAGGGCTATAGACCTTGGTTTAACTCATTTAAGTCTAACCAGTACAGACCCAAATACCAATATCTTGCAAATACTTGACAACAAGAATTATACAGTGGCATTTATAACAAATAAATGCAAATAAATTGATGTTCACAAAATGTTGCATAACATTTATTGAGTCGTGTCAAGGTGCTGTAGGAGCGTGCACTAGCACCGTGTCCTCAGAGAGATTATTTATCAGCGTGAGGAACTTATTTCTACCTTATTTATAAACTATTTATTTACAAGTCCATCAGTTAATGTAATAATTGTCCCAACCACAGCTGCACCCCCCAACCCGGTCTCACAGCAATCGGGGCAAGCTGCACGTGTGTTTAGCACGCTGCACACGCACATTTAGCTGTTTTTAGCGGCTCAGGAGACCGCAGGTGCGGTGTGTGTGTCACTCACTCTGGTTACTCCAACAAGGAGCCGGCTCCGAGAGCCGTGTCTTTAGCGACCGACACATCACTGCATCATTCCCTTTCCTAATGTCCTGAAGAACGGTCCGGAGCGCAGGCGGAGTGTTTAGCTAACCTGCAGGAAATGTCGACGACAGTTATCCAGAATGTAGCTAAGGGTTACCAGAGATGTTTCTGAGGTGTTCGCTAGGTACTTTTAGGATTAAAAAGTCAAGAAGGGGGTCTGAAAAGCTGCTAGAAATAGCGTCCAAGTCGCTAAGTTGGCAACACTGTAGGAGGAGCGCTTCATTTGCAACTCAGGGCAGCGCAAGCGGGAGGAGCAAATAATCGGCTTGTTATGTTTTTTATAATCGTTCAAAACTCAGATCGTATTCGTGATTAAAATTCGATTAATTGAGCAGCCCTATTACAAACTCTTAACTTTCTCAACAGAGTTGCTCGTAACGGAGTATTTACTAGCATAGCTAACCAGAGCGGAACAACCGGAACATTTCTCACTCGTTGAGCTCACCTTCAAAATAAAACATTTACCCTATAGTTTACTATTTAAACCCTTACAGTATGTTTGAGGTAATTTGGCCACTCCAGCTATCTGTAGATGTTTCCTGATTACACAGGGGAGAGAGGGGTTTGACTCGTCTCTCCGGCTCCGCACAAGCAGGATGGAAAGCAGAACTTTGTTGGCATTGAACGTCCCTATATAATTAAAAACCAAAACGCCAAATGCAAAGTTTAGAGCAGCATTTACCCAGTGGCTGTCAGATTGAGCAAACTTGTGAGAATACATGTAATAGCCGCTTAGAGACGGAGCAACATGTCTCTAGCATAGCGGCTAATCGCTAGCATAGCAGTTTGACCAGTTATATCAACATAAAGATATAAAGTCATCTTATATCTTGTTTAAAAATTATGCTGGTATTTTAAAAATATTGATATATTGCCAGGCCCTAGTCATAGGGTACCTCTTAGCCAATAGCAATGGCAGATTTTAATTCAAATGTAGTGCAGCGTTTTTACCTGGGCCGTTTCTCAGTACTGAAGGACATCAGTAAGTTCTTGTGTACTAGACAGGTATGTTCTTGGCAAGGACACCAGAAAGTCTGTTCTACCGAGTACAGGACGACGAGGACGGCATGTGGAACAGAACCATTCTCCTCTTTGGTGTGTTCTTGCTGTGTTTAGTTTCAAATCCCATCTTTCAGTTCTTTTTAAAACACAGAAAAGGTTCATTTATCTGCAACGTTTCTTTTGCGGCTGCAAACATCATCAGGCTGACGCTGATGGTGGCGTCACTTCCTTCTCCGTTTATCCGCGGGCAGCAGAGGACGTTGTCGCCCTCTACTGCCCGCTCTCCCCTCTCCGATGATGCAGTCCCATGTGCGGTCCAACGAGTAAACTCCGTCGTCCCTGTTCATGGTCCCACATCCACGTCTCCTTATCTCGATAGCTTCTTTTATCCATCTTTTGTATTTTTGTTGTTCGGTGGTTATGATCCGTGTGCTGTCCCAGTCCATTATATGGTTTTCTCTTGTGCAGTGATCTGTTACGGCTGACTTCTTTATTGTACTTTCTGCTTCTTGTTTCGCTGCTCTTGTGTGTTTTCAACTTGTTTCTTTCTCGCACTTTCTTTGCCCGCTCTCCCCTCTCGAGAGCGGGCAGCAGAGGGCGACAACATCCTCTGCTGCCCGCGGATAAACAAAGGAAGTGACGCCACCATCGGCGTCAGCCTGATGATGTTTGCAGCCGCAAACAAAACGTTGCAGGTAAATAAACCTTTTCTGTGTTTTAAAAAGAACTGAAAGATGGAATTTGAAACTAAACACAGCAAGAACACACCAAAGATGTTTAAAGAAAAATACGGACAACAAGGAACAAAGGACTAATGCCTTTGGAACGATTACACCAAAAACGCCCACCTCTAAGGAACCACCTTCCCTTCAATTTAAGATGCCAGGACGAAAACATCACACCAACAAGCCTACAGCTGAAAAGGCCGATCCGGACCAAGACAGCACAGAACATAATGGAAAGAGCACAGAGAGCACTACTCAAAGAAAGCATAAGAAACGTCACAACCAATCAGAAGCAAGTGGAAAACGAACTGGAAAGAAGACACCTGGACTTAAAAAGGAATTACAAACTTGATGAAAGAACGGAGGAACAAATTAAAGGACACATGATGGAAAAACAGGAAAAAGAGTTCATAAAAGTAAAAAAAAAAAAAGACACGTAAAGAAGTTACACAAACTCATCAACAAGAAAAAGAGAAAAGAAATACAAGATAACACCACACAAGCTCATGGGTACGTAACATTTCACAACACGAACTAACAGAAGCAGAAGAAAGTATTAAAAACAGGTTCAAACTTTGCAGTCACACCAAAGAAATACCATATGATGAGTTTCTCGTAGCAACAGAACTAGCATGTCAACAGATCACAGATGAGGGGAAGAAAGCAGAACTCAGAAATAACGTAGTTGGTAAATTAAAGAACAGCAAAATTCAACACAGCAACATTACAAAAGAAGAACAATCAGCCATGACAGCTTTATCCAAAAATGAACAGATAATTATTCTACTGGCAGATAAAGGAAGAACCACAGTAGTTATGGACAGAGAAAAATATAAACAACAGATGAACCAGATGTTAGAAGACAAAAATACATATGAAATACTTAAAAAGGACCCAACAGAAAACATTAAGAAAAACATGAAAAAAATTACTGAAGCCTCTACAAGAAAAAGGCAAAATAACAGAAAAAATGTACAAACACTGGATTCCTACAGCAAACATAACACCAAGAATATATGGAACACCAAAAATACACAAACAAAACACCACTTAGACCAATAGTTGACAGCATAGGTACACCAACATACAACATGGCAAAAGATATCAGCAGAATCATCAGCCCGTTATTAGGAAATACAGACCAACACTGCAAAAACAGCATAGAACTGGTAAAAGAACTAAAGGAAATTACAATAGAAGACAACGACATACTCATCTCACATGACGTCACATCTCTGTTCACAACAACACCAACCCACAAAACCATAGACATAGTAGTTAACAGAATCAGACAGGACAAGACTTTACATAAAAGAACAAACCTCACAGCAGATGACATAGCACAACTGATAGCACTGGTAGCTAACTCCACTTACTTCACGTACGATAACACAATATACAAACAACTGGAAGGCTTCGCCATGGGTAACCCGTTATCAGCCACCCTGTGCCAGTTTTTCATGGAGGACATGGAGCAAAAAGCCATAGCCACCGCCCCCCCAA